GAGGGAGGGAGGGAGACGCGCGAAACGATGTAGCTTCGGTGACCGACCCGACCCGACAACCGGAGCGCTCCTTCCCCTCCCCCTTCCTCCCCGGCGCGCGCTCAGTTAGCCGGCCGACCCGGAGTTGACAACGTTGTTGCACCATGGACACAGACAGGTAAATTTCGCGATCCGCGAAATCGCGAAAAGTGCCCAAATGCTCTAAAACGTTAAGATTTGAGTTTGTGATGAATTTCCATGTCGTTTTAACGCTAAGATCCGAAAAAACGCGAAATTGGACTCTAAACGCGAAATTTGGCTCGCAACCGCGAAATTCACGAATTTCTCGCGATATTCGCGAATTTCTCGCGATATTCGCGAATTTCTCGCTAAATTGCCACAATTTAAGCGAAATTGAACGAAAATTACGGTTTTCCCCTCACTTTTAGCAGTTTTACCAACTATTGACAGACTTAGCGACCGCCAACTCTCCGTATGATGGCCGCCACATTGCGTGCTAGAGGTTGGCAGCATTGCCTTTGCAGGTTCATACAAGACAAGTCCCTCGCTGCTGTCAGCCTCGAAATATCCTACTTGTCTCTCGTTTCTCGAAGAAGTCAACTAAATGGGAAAACATGGCAGCCTTCCAGCAAAAGAAAGTGACTCTAAAATCGAGATGCAAAGAGTATGCCGAGGAAGGTATGGTTGAGTTTGGGGATAGTGCGAAGTACATGCGCTGCACCTACTGTGACAGCCGAGTCGAATGGGCCAAAAAGAACACCGTTGACAAGCATTGCAGAAACCTATCGCACATAGCAGCTAAGCAGCGGGTGCAAAGTGCCGGTGCCGGGCCAGCGAAGCGACAGCTGTCTGTGAACGAAAGTACCACCCGCGCAAAGCGCATTTGCAATGAGAAGGAAGAGTTCAAGGCGGACATTGTCGAGGCCTTCATGGCGTCAAACATCCCCTTAGAGAAGTTGGACCACCCCGTAAGTGATAAAAAATGCACAATTTTGATTTGCAAAAGAAAAGTTTTGAAACCCATTTCTAACTACGATATTTGTTTGCTTTGCCTTCAGGCTTTGAAGAGATTCTTCAAAAAATATCTCGCCGGGTCGGGAGACATCCCATGCGTGAAGACAGCAAGAGAGAAATATTTGCCATTAGTTGCTGAAATGAAGAAAGAGGAAGTAAAGCTCGCTCTGGAGGGTAAGGACATTGTTGCTTTCTCAGATGAGGCTGAGGACAAAGCTGGGAGATGTATATACAACATTCTCTTCCAAACTCTTGACCCTGCCCCAGAGCAGAAGCTTTACCTTGCTTCATCTTCCCTGCTTGATGCAGCAAATGCTGCAAACTGCTCTAAAGCTTTTCCTGAAAACTTTAGATGATTACGGGAAAACTATAGATGATGTGCAAGCATTTGTGGCAGACTCAGCCAGGTACATGGACAAATGTTATAGGACCCTTCAAAATCTAAATAATGACCTCTTGCACATTCAGTGTTGGCCACATAAACTTCATCACTGTGGCCAAACCTGGCAACAAAGTTTGCCTGAACTTAATCAAGCAATCCTGAACACAAAAAAGGTTTCCTACATGCCAGGAAAAGGAAAAACCAGTACCTAGATTTCCTTGCTAAGAAATACCCTGACCAGAGAAGTAAGTGGAAACATTTCCCTATGCCAGTAATAACCAGATGGTACTCTTGGAAAAAATCTGTGGACTACTTGAATGAATATTTTGATGACATTGCTCAATTTTTGAGAGTTACATATGGCCATGAAGAAGCAGACTCTGACAGTGATTATGAAGGTGATGATGAAGATGAAGAACAGATACCTGCTCATCACAGAATAAGCAAGGGAGTTAAGTGGTATTTAAATTTAGATGATAAAGACAAACAGAAAGTTAAAATTTACAGTGAATTTGTGAGCATTGAAGGTAAAGATTTGCAGACAATGATTCAAGTATTACAGAAGAACAAAACTCCCACAGCACACCTTGTGTATGAAAATTTAGACAAGGTAGAAAGGAGGCTTAATGTTCTCTCTTCATCTTCACCAGCTGATCTCATCATAGCCCTCCAAGAGTTACCCGTTTTTTCATCTTTGAGAGAGGTGGAAAAAAGACTGCATGCCCCTGTGCTAATTAAAGCAGCAAAAAATTGCAGGCAAAGGCTTATTCTATTTGGCAACAAAGATCCTGCCAGAAAAATGTTTACATCTCTTGATGCTTTGCTTAGCCCAAAGAATTTGAGTCTCTCTCAATTACCTTTGAAAAACATTGAAGAGCATATGTTAAACATTCCTTACATTAAGAAGCTAACTGTAGCCACTTTTGCTGCTGGGCAAAATGCCCTAATGGAATTAGTCAGAGCTGAGAAAGCAAAGCCTGACTACTCTGGCATCCAGCTGGAGCACATGCTCTGTGCCCTTAAAGATAGCAACAGGGAATTCACAGATGCCTGCCTAAAAGCCATCTGGTTCCCAACTGGAAACAGCAATAGTGAGAGGTCAATCTCAGACTATAATAATATTTTAACTGACAGAAGAAGGAACCTCAAGCCAGCAAATGCAGAAAAATTGAGCATTGTGTACTTCAATGGACATGAAAAAAGTGACTTTGATTATTAATAATAATATTTGTTGTTTGTTTTACACTTGCTTTGATTCTATTTTAAGATATGACATCATATTTTCTATTATGCAATCAATATAATACATATTTACTCTCAAACCTGTCCTATAATTCCCCCATTTTAACGCTAATGTTGAGAAAATCAGTTTCCGTTGAGTTTCGAGCCAAATTTTGAACGTATTGAGTCCATTTAAGCAAATTCGGGTCAAAAAGCGAAAAAACGCGAAATTCCACAAACTCAATCGCGAAAAAATTGAAATTCTAACGCGAAATTTTCAGGTCTCTGACCATGGATCAACGGACCGAACACTTGCTCCGCCAGTGGGGGGTTGGAGGTTGGACATCTCGTTCAAGATTTTAAAATTAAGTACACTTTATTAATTGCGTTAGCTGTTTAACAATTTAACTGTACCTGTTTCAAACCAAAGAGTAGGTTTTTGCGAAATCATAGTTATCAAATTTGAGAATTTCGCATAGATCGCACGGCGACAGCGCGAGGGGCAGGTGGGCATGGGGATCAGGGGCACGGCGTCTCCGTGGTGCGCCAGCTAATAACTGTATTTATGTATAAAGGTAGAGTCGCAACCCAAAACGTACGTGTAGGGAGCAGAAGAGCTCGGAGGGCACGGCCTACCGAGAACGATAGGGCCAACTCGTGAAGTACTAGTAATATTGCGTGACCGTGGTGTGCATAAAATTGCGCTCCTGCGTGCGCACGAACGCACGTGTACGTGTGTGTGTGTGTCGCGCGTCCCAGCAGACGATGCGATGTGAAGGAGTAGCGAAGGACAGGGAGGCGTCCGTCCGTCCGTCCGCTCGCCCGCTCAGCTGGCCAAGAGCAACGCGTCGCGTACCGCACTCTATCGGCGGCCCGTGATGCTTGTCGTCGGTCTCTCTCTAATGCTTCTCTAAGACGGCTGTACTACGGCCGCAAATATGAGAGCATATTATATGTCATAAAACTTTAAATGCTCGCAAAATTTAGCAATTAATTAATTAAAATTCATGTTTAAAAACAACAGCAACCTAAATGTATGCAATGTTTTCCATAGAAAAGCAGATCAATTATACAAATTCGTGTTACATGTTGGTCAACTTTTTTGTTTGGATTTGTCTCCCCGTACAAAACAAAAGCGGCTTCAGGGTGTCTCAGAAATAGACAACAAGCAGACAGTGCACAGGCAAAGCGAAGACTCCGCTAGAGACACGTTGAATACGCGCTCGAGACATCAAGGATGTCT